TTTATGGGGAGCCTTTGGGGGAATGGCAGGCAGAACACTTCTTAGGCCTTTTCCTCATGAACTCACATTAAAGATATTACCAAGATGGTATCTGATAAATATCAATAGAGTTTATAGTTAATGTTTTGAAAGTTTAGAAGGGGTAGGACTCCAATAAGTTGAGGTTCAGAGAGAGCTTTGTGAAAGAAGAACTTATTTTCATTTATTCATTCAACTATCTATCCGTCCATCCATCTATCTATTCATTCATCCAATAAATCTAGCATCTGTAGTATGCAGAGCACTATGCTATATGCTATAGGAGAAAAAGTTTAAATCACAGATTTATAGCTGGAAGGCTTTGAGATCAAATTATAAAGACCAAATTATAAAGGATCTTAGCCTTTTTTGTCTTGGGCCCTTTTGAGAGTCAGAAGACTCCTCTCAGAATAATGTTTTAAAATCATAATAGAAATGTTAAATTTCAGTTAGAGGTTAATGAAAATAAAGACTTTTTCCCATTGAACTCCGATGACCCTTTGAATTCTATCCATGGACCCCTTTGGAGGTTGATGAACCTCAGTTAAAGAACTCTGATCTAGTCCAAACCCCTCATTTTACAGATGAAGAAACTGAGTCCTGAAGAGATTAAGTGCCTTACTTGAGGTAATACTGCTAGTAAGAGGCAGAATTGGGATTTGAACTTAGGTCTTTGGACTCCAAATCCAAATCTTTCCATCTTCTATCTGTGTTGTCTTTTCCATTAGAATGTGAACTCTGAAAGCAGGAACTGTCTTTGCTTTTGTATTTGAATCTTTAGTGTTTTGATCAAACTAACAGCTTAATAAATACTTATTTACTCATTTCTCATGCCACACTACACGGTCACAGTTCTCATGGAACTTTTACAGTCTAGGGGAAGAGGGGAACAGAAGGGGACACAGAGAATACTACTGCTGGCTATTATGTGGTAAGTGCATTAAAGAGATGCAAAAGAAAGTACTGTGTGGGGAGGATGATGCTGACAGAGAGGATCGTGGAAGGCTTCCTGGAGAGGGTGACATTGGAGATAGACTTTAAAGGAGAGGTAGGGCTTCAGCGAGGGAGTAATGGGAGAGAGGGTATTCCAAGTGGAGGAAAGACGCTGATCAAGACTATAGAAGGAGGAAAGCATAAGGAATCTTGAGGAAAAAGAAAGTTGTTCAGGTTGGCAATCATGTGGAATGGGCTCAGGACAGTGCCAAGATTCTAAAGATAGGCTGGTGTCAGAAAGTCAAAGGCTTTGAATGCCAAAGAAGTTTGAACTTTACTCAATGCGCAACAGGGAGCCCCTGACTTATCAGACATGTTGTCAAGGGGATTTCTTTGGGGTATAGTTGGGCTAGATGGCCACCAAGGTCCCTTCCAGCTCTGAGATTCTGTAAGCCTCTGAATACACTGAAGAATGATCCAACCACATCTATACCCAAAGGATGTTGGTCTCGGGCTGGGTAGGATCTGGACAGTTTGGGGTGGAGGGGGTTAGGGATGGTGGGAAGGCAGCCCAAGGTATGTAGCATGAGCAAAGTCATGGAGGTGGGAATGAGTGTGACGTTTTCAGAGGACACTGAGGAGTCTAAGAAGCTTGTAGCTGATTGTGTGTGGGAGGAATGAGAGATAAGTGTGGAAGTATAGATTGGGACTAGTTTGTGGAAGGCTATGAATGCCTGGCTAGGGAATTTGGATTTTGTCCCATAGCCCACAGAAGTTTTTGAGCAGGCAAGTGACATGCCAAAAAAGACTGTTTTAGGAAGACGGTTCTGGCAGGGGCGCACAGAAGTGGTTGGAGCCAGGGAGAGCCTGAAGACAGGAAGACTGGGTAGGAAGTTGTGACAATACAGGGTCTGATGGCAGAAGAAAGGATATCATAATAATAATGATAATAATAACTTGTGTTTGTAGAGCATTTTGTTGGTTATAAAGCACTTTATATGTATTAACTCATCTGAGCCCCATGATGTAGTTATAATATTATTACTTCCATTTTACAACTGAGGAAACTGAGCCTCAGAGAGATTGAGACTTGCCTATAGTCATCCAGACAGTAAGTGTTAAGAGATAAGATTCAGCTCAGGTCTTCCTAGACTCCAAGTCTAGTATACTCTCCACCATGATTATGAAGGTAGAAGAGGACTTAGAAGTAGCCTAGACATGGGGATGAGGAAGTGGGAAGCTTAATAAATCACTCTGTGGTTTCAGGTATGGGAGGTTCTGGTTGCTCAGTGAACAGAGAGGCCCAGGGAAGGATGCCTAGGTGAGAGGAGTCTGGGGCCCTGAGTGTCTGCAAACAACATAGGCCAAGGTCTCTTTGATGTTTGCTATTAGAGCCGATTTTATATTCCTCCTGGGAAGAATCTAAATGAAAAAGTAACTGGAATTAGAAACTACGTCAAGGATGCCCCCCCCTTCCATGAATAAGAATGACATCTGCCATTTATATAACCCTTTGTGGTTATGAAGCATGTTCTATGCATGGCTTTCTTTGATCTCTACAAAGAACAAGAAAATGAGGCATCTCAGGTGAGTTGTGCGCTTTGTCCAAGGTCTAACAAATAGTCCGGACTTGAACCCCAGACAATGAATCTCAGGATCCCAAAGGCAGAAGAAACTTCATTGGTCACCTAGTCCAGTCTATTCCCAAGAAAACCTTCTACATGAGATGTGCTTAACCCAAAGGGTCTGTGCTTAGATTTCAGGGGGTCTGTGAGCTTGAATAGGGAAAAAATATTTTCATTACTCTCTAACTGTAATGTAGCATTTCCTTCTATTATGATTTTTTAAAAAGCCCACATGATTTTGAGAAGTTCCTAGGTTTTAACAGGCTACCTAGGGACCCATGACACAGAAAGAGTTAAAATCCCCTGCTTTGCTTACCGACATGGTAACACATAGTTCCAGAGGCTTTATGTGAATTCCTTTAGCGATGGGGAGCCTATGGTCTCTGCAGGCAACACATTCCATTTTGAGTCAGTGGTAATTGTTCAGGAATTCTTCCTGACTTCAAGCCTCAGTTTGCCTCTTTGTAACTTGAAATGATTGCTCAGACAGCTGTCTTCAGTTTTCTGACTCCATGTCTGGTTCCATTTTTTGCTGTACAAGGCTGCTGTGTGGACTCTTGTAGAAATTGCAAAGAAACTTACCTTTCTTGATGCTGTTATTCAGCCTGCCTAGAAAAGACCAGATATATAGTCTGCACTTCCTTTATCCAGGCAAGTCTAAAACCACCTTTTTAAAAAATCTCTTTTAAGGAATATTGTTAGAGGAATTCTGGTCTGTCCCTTTCAAGTATGTAGAATAGTTCAGATGAGACCTGGGTTGAAATTCTTCCTTGCTATTCCTTGACATCTGTGATCCTGGGCAAGTCATCAGATCCTAGTTCTAGGCCTTCAGTTTACTCCTCTGCAAAATGATGTAGTAGGACTAAATTAACTTTAAGGTCCCTTCCAACTCGAAGATCTCACCATCCTAACAAAGTGTTAACCCAGGGGGGTCCTCTTTTAAGGAATAGATTAAAAGTAATTTGCAATTCAAATTTCCCATGGAAGTCGGCCTCTAAATCCCTTGAAAATGTTTTGCCCTTTACAGAAGGGAGATTATAATTGTTTACAAAATGAGATTTTAATCCCCCTCTCTTTAATACGATGGTAAACTTTAGTTTGGGTTCCAGTCTCGCTTAACACATATCTGGAATTAGTTTAGAGACTTATGTGAATTGATGCAAAGTTAAGTGAGCAGAACCGGGAGAACAATTTATATAATAAAAATAACATTGTAAAGACAAACAAGTCAATGGCCATCATGATTCTAGATGACCTATGATGAAACATATCTGCCTCCTCACAAAGTGATAATAGACTCAGAGTACAGATCGAGACGTACTTTACAGACGTGGCCGGTGTAAGAATTTGTTTTGCTTGATTATAAAAACCAACCAACCAACCAACCACTAAGTGGTTGTCTTTCATAGTGCAGTCATTATATAGGTGGTTCTCCTGGTTCTGCCCACCACTCTGCAACAGTTCATAAAAGCTTTCCCAATGTTCTCTGATTCTGTCCCTTTCATCCCCTTTTTGTGGTGCAGTAATATTCGATCACATTCATAAGACATAACTTATTCAGCCATTCACCAATGGATGGGCAGCCACTTTGTTCTAGTTCCTTGCTACAACATAAAGTGTCACCATGTTTTTTGTACATGTAACTCCTTTCTCTCTCTCTTTCATCTTTTTGTGGGATGTATGGCCAATAGTACAATGAGTCAAAGGGTATCCATGGCTTGGTGACTTTCGGGGGCATTTTTGCAAGTTAACAATTCACAACTACTCCAGCAGTACATCATTGTGTCCATCTTCCCATGACCTGAATTTGTTTCATCAAATCATACAATCTTAGCACTGGTAGGGGACTTGGGGATCATTTAATCCAGGCTTTTCGTGTATTATGATTGTAAGTAATAATAATAATAACTTACATATGTGTGGCCCTTTACTATTTAAAAAGATCTTGTGTTTATCTAGAGTTGTCATGAGTGTTGTGGATAGAATGTTGGTCTTCATCCCACCTTTGATATTTATTAGCTGTATGACCTTGGACAAGTCACTCAACCCACTCTAAATCTTAGCTTCCTTATCCATAAAATGGGGCTAACTAGGTAGTTATGAGGAAAGTACTTTGCCAACTTTAAGGAAACACTGAAGACTTGTTATTATATCACAGATTTGAGCCCATACTCCACAGGACTGACTGAACAAATACATTGTTATCATTTTGCGGATGAAGAAACATAAGTCCCATGGGGTGGTCTGCCCAAGATCACACAGCAAATTAGTGATCGAGTGAAAAGTGGGACCCAAGTCCCCCAACTCCCTGTCTTGTGTGTTTGCTGCTTTGCCCCACCATTTCCTGGGGTAACAAGCTATTGAACTCGTTTGAGCTCTGGCTACAAACTCATTCAGTTTTGTTTTTGTCTTTTCTTTTCGCAGGGCCAAGTGTTTTCGGGGCAAAAAGGTCTGTGGAGATTACGACGTCAAAGTGGAACAGGTAACTAAGCCAGATCTGGTTGGGGTAGGGTTGCCAACTGGCCAGGGTTTTGTCCCAGAAGCAAATGTTTCTTCTTGATGGGTCATGTTATAGGGGGTGTGTGTGTGTGTGTGTGTGTGTGTGTGTGTGCGCATGTACTATTTTGATAATCTTAGTTGGGGCTGTATTATCTCTGTTCCTTCCTGGAGTCTCAACCTTTTGGCACTGACATAGAAGTGAATGTAGGGACATACAAGCCATCAGATCCACCAAGGTGGTGAAGAGGGTGCCCTCCCGGGACCAGGTCCACTCTCCCTTTCATTATGGCTTATTTATTCATTCACTTGAAAGCTTTGCTAATAGACACTGACTCCACCAGCCTCAGTGGAGCCCCTCACTCAGAGGAGTCCCTCACTCAGAGGAGTCCCTCTCAGTGTCTAGTTTTTCTGGGGCTGGCCTAAAGGGGCTAGGGTGCTGGCGTCTCAGATACTCTCCTGCCACCTGCCCAGGAGAAGCCTCAGGCATACTAGAACTCATTCATGGGATGTCAGCCCTCCCTTCCAAGTTTGGGGTTTGCAAATCTAGCATGTGAGGCTGTTTATTTCTGTATATACACTGCCATAGTGACTGAGCTGTGGTCGTGTGGTTCTAAAGGCTATGGTTTCCATTCATGTAGTTAATTAAGAGATTCCCTACAAGTTTACTACCACCGCCATTGATAACGCTGGTGGCACCACAGTAAGAGGAACAACTGGCAGTAAGGGCAGAGTGAGAGGCAACATGGCATAGAGGAAGGATGTCCTTTGGATTTGGGGTAGGACGATCTGAGTTTAAAACCTGATTCCAATACTTATTAGCTGTGTGAGCCCAGGAGAATAATTTTACCTCTCCAAATCTCAATTTCTTCATCTGTAAAATGGGAGAGGGGGGAAAATAATACATGCTTTACTTGTCCCATGAGTTTATTGTAAAGAAAATGCTCTAGAAATAGGACTCATTTCCTTGGGGGCAAGTTCAAGGGCATTTTGGGGGCTGGGAGCAGGGGAAGAGATTGTTTTTTTTCCTTTTGGTTCTCCATGCTTCATGATATAACAAAAAAGACAACCAGGATGAATTTGGCATCTTAAAAGGTGCATTAAATTTTTATTGTCATCTGTGGCCTAGGGCCCCTTACCATCTCTGGTCTCACACAGACTTAGTCCATTATTAGGAAGTGAACCCAAGGGACTTATTCTTTCCTTCTGACTCAGGCACACACCCCAGATTTTACTCTTGGGAAATTTCTAAAATAAAGTTCAGTAATGGCTTGTGTCTGTTTCTCCCAATGGAGGTAACTGGGTCTATATGCCAGCATAGATACTTACTGTGAATATTGGAAATGGGATAGCTTTTATTTCAACAACTGTGAGAAATGCACAAGGCACAAAATACTCACAGGAGCCTATGAACATAAAACATTCAAAAAACCTGTTAGTTTCCCCATGGAGGGACTTTGGGGGACATTTGATCCAACTCTCCCTGTTTGCTTCATTCTTGTGTTACTGAGTGACACATTGTAATAGTAGGGTTATTATACATATATATAATAGTATAGTATGACATATATATATCATATGATATGTGATATAGTATAATATATGATATATATCATGGTATAGTAGGGCTCCCACTGGGAGTTTGTCTTGGACAGGACTGTGGTCTCACTCCCCTCTCTTGTTTTTGCAGGCAGAATTTTCAGAGCTCAACCTGGTGGCCCACGCTGATGGAACCTATGCTGTGGATATGCAGGTCTTCCGAAATGGCACTAAGGTTGTCAGGTGAGTGTCTGTCTCAAGGCCAAAGATAATTCTGACTCTGAGTACTCTCATCCTGGCCTGTGTCTGATGTATCAGAGGACAGATTTCTCACTGACCTCAGAGGCCCTAGGAGCGTGAGTTGGGCAGTACTCTTGATTATATGTAGAGCTTTCCGTGCTAGGTGCTGGCAAAGGATATAGAGGGAGAAGAAGACACCATCCTTATTGTTAGGTGCTATGGGAGAGAGGAAATCATCGAATCTGCCCTCTAGACGCTCCCATATACATAGAAAAGAGACTATTCCCATTTTCAGAGGGATCGTTGTTTAATGGGAAAGGTATGGTCACCTTTGTGGATATTCCAGAATGATGGGGCAAAGTCTTTATCCTTAGAGAATTAGTCAATAGGTATTTATTCTGGGCTGACGACGTGCCAGGCATTGTGCTAAACACTGAGATACAAAGAAAGGTGAGAGTCCTCAGTCTGATGGGAGAGGTAGGATCATAGGATCTGCCTAGAAGCCCCCAGCCTCTCAAAATCAATCAATCAGTGAGTCAGCCAACCAGCATTTATTAAGTGCCTACTAGGCTAAGCTCAGGCAACACTAAGAAGAACAAAAAGCAGTCCCTGCCCTCAAGAGGCTCACAGTCTGATGGTGAGACAACATGCAAACAACTACACGGAGAGGAGTTCTATACAGGGGAAATTGGGGTGGTCCCAGAGGGAAGGCACTGAGATTGAGGAGGCCTGGAAGAGGCTGCTTGGAGAAGGTGGAACTTCAGCTGAGACTTCAAGGAAGTCAGGGAAGGCAGGAGGTGGAAAGAAGGAGGGAGCACTTTCCAGGCTTGAGGGGTGGCCAGTGAAAAGCCAAAGAGTGGGGAGATTCAGCGTTTTATACGAGAAACAGAAAGGAGGCGTCACTGGACTGCAGAGAACATGGAGGGGAAGCAGTAGGTTGTAACAAGACTGAAAAGCAGGAAGGGACCAAGTCAGGAAGGGCTTTAAAGGTCAAACAGATGATTTATGTTTGATCCTCATGGTAATAGGGAGCCACTGGAGTTTATTGGATATTGAAATCTACAAATGTTTATTAAGCACCTAGGCATTCTGATAGGTACTGGGGATACAAAGGCAAAAAAGTCCCTGTCCTTGAAGTGCTTACATTTTATAAAAAGAGACATTCCCAGAGAGCTCCTGGTCTAATAGGAAAGGTTATGGTCCCAGGTTAGTACCATCCTTGCTCTTAGGGAGTCCTGAGTTAGATGGGAGACATACTCCTGATACCAGGAAAGCTCCCAGATAATGTGAGAATTGCTGTACTTACTCTTGGGAAATTCCCATTCTGAGGGGTTTGATAATGCACACACACAGACACAGACACACACACACAGACACACACACACACACACACACACACACACATGCATGAATGCACCAAAAATGACCAAGAATACTTAGAACAGGACCTATAAACATGTAGGTATGTATGTATTCTCATGAGAGCTTACCTAAGTACATTCAGGAATGCCATGGGCTCCTAGATCAAGGTGAGGGGAACAGAATATTGAGGGAGTGAGCCTGGTTCGGAAAGGAAGAAGTCCTCAACCCTAGGTCTCTGCCTTGAGAATAATTTGGAGGTTTTATGGCCTTCAGGAGAGCTCTATCACTAGTGAGGTAGAAAGACAAGGAAAGAGAAGGGAAGCGGCTTCCCATGAAGTCAGTCATTTAGAGGGAAAAAAAAAATCAATCAGGAAGTATTTATTGGGCTGGGCCTAGCTTTCTGCTAAGCTCTAAGGAGGATAAAAAGAAGTATAGCTAAAACATAGCTCCTGCCTTTAGAAAGCTTAAAATCTAGTTGGGTAAACAGTTAGGTGGTTCAGTAGACAGAGCACCTGACCTGGAGTCAGGAAGACTCCTTTTCCTGAGTTCAAATCTGGCCTCAGACACTTCCTAGCTGTGTGACCCTGGGCAAGTCACTTCACCCTGTTTGCCTCAGTTTCCTCATCTATAAAATGAGCTGGAGAAGGAAATGGCAAAACCATTCCAGTATCTCTGCCAAGAAAACCCCAAAGTGGGTCACAAAGAGGTGGCCACAACTGAAAAAGTGACTGAACAACAACATATGTGCAAAGATACTTTATGATAATTACCAGACAGTAGCTGATTAAAAACTGTGCCAGTAAGTGCAATAGAAGGGCCCCAGGGATCTGTCTTTGGCTTGTGCCTTTCCACATTTTCATTGATGGCTCGGATGAAAGCATAGATGATATGCTTATCAGATTTTCAGATGACAAGACCAGGAAGGATAGATAACACTTTGAACTCTTGGGAGTCAAAAAGAACTCTTGCCAGCTAGAACTGGTGAGCCAAATCTAACAAACTGAAATTTAATAGTGATGATTGTAAAGTCCTACACCTGGGTTTCAAAAATCAGCCATATAGGTATAGGACAGATGAGAAATAGCTAGATAGTTTTCATGTGAAAAAGACCTGCTATTTTTAGTGGACCTCAAGCTCAGACATAAATTTACAGTGTCATGTGGCCACCAAAAAGGGTGTTGAAAGTTTAGACAATATTAATAGAAGTATTGTGTCCAAAAGCAGGAGAGAGATAGTCCCATGTATCATTCACCATGAGCATATTCACACCCAAGATATGGCTCTACTGGCTTCTCCTTGAACACTTTTTCTTTATGGGGACATACCCCTGGGGCCTCAGAACTCTGCCTTAGAGAGATGGAGAATTTACAAAGGTTCTTTATACAGCTCCCCAAATCCTGATCGAATTCATGAGAGGACCCGACACCAAGGTTGTACATCTTTTTTGTCCAGTTGCTTAGGCTGGACACACCTACCCATGTCTTACTCTATAATCCACTTTTCCCCAGACTCCTACAACTCAGGATTTACCTAAACACAAAGGCTCTATTTCCAGACACTCTCTTCTTGAGACTTATTATCTAGTATTCTTGCTACATTCAATAACTGTTCCATACTCCTCCCATCCTGTTATTCCTTACTATTGTGTCCCTAGCAATTTCCATTTTAACAATAACAACAACAATAGCTAGAATTTATGTGTTTTAAGGTTTGCAAGGTACTTTACAAATGGTATCTCAGTTTATTCTCACAACAACCCTCGGGGATAAATGCTGTTGCCATTCCCATTTTGCAGATGGGGAAACTGAGGCAGAGAAAGATTAAGAAACTTTCCCAGGATCTCACAGCTAGTAATTATCTGAGATGGTATTTGAACTCAGGTCTCACGGATATACAAATCCTATGTTCTATCCATTGGGCCACCTACCAAGTTGCATTTCGTGGTTGACCCATGCCTTCTCTTTGGAACTTTGTATTTACTTATAAGGATACATATATATTATATGTGTGTGTATGTGTGTATGTATATATGTACATATATTTTATGTATGCATACATACATACATATGTTACCCTCTAATAGAATAAAAATTCACTGAGTGCAGAGATTCTTTGGTTTTCATCTTTGTACCAAGCATAATGCCTGGCACATAGGCATTTAATAAATGTCTGTTGAGTTGATTGGAATGGAATGGTAGGAGCTGAGTTGGGCCTTGAAGAGCAGAAATGCAAATTGGGATAGGCAGAGAGGGAATGCAGTTCAGGTTGGTGTGAAGACCAGGAGAAATGCCCTGAGCAAAAACTTAACCAGGTAAGGAAGGTTTGTGGAGGAAAGACCAGCCTAGGTGGAGGAGAGGGTGCATGTTGGGAAGCAAATAGGTTGATTGCAGGCAAAGAGAATGAGTTCTTTATTATAGTAGAGAAAAATTTAGGATGAGAAAGTTCCTAGATATTTGGTTGGTTTCTATTATACAAATCCAGCCAAGATCCCAAAATAACTTTAGGTTCTCAGCTGTCAGCCACTCCAGGTGTTCATGCAGAGACTACAGGACCAGCTGTCAGGGATGCTATAGGAAGTATTCCTGAACTTAGTGGAACGTGGGCCTTGTTGAATTCTGAGATTCCTTCAAGATCTGAGAATCTGTAATTCTATTTACCAGGAGCACCTTAAGGCCCCAGGTCAGAAAACTTGACTTAGGGTCATAACTGTTGAGGGTGACTGTAAAAGAAGGAAAGAGAACAGTAGGTTATGGGAAGAACCCTGGAGATGACATTAGAATCTTGGACTTGAGCCCCAGATCCTTTGTTTATTAGCAATCTGACTTTGGGCCTAAACTCTCTGGGCCTCAGTTTCTTCATCTGTAAAATGAAGGAGTTGGATTAGATGACCTTTAATGTCCCTTCTTGATATAAAACTATGATTCTAGGGTATATTCACACCAATGGATATTCATAGGTGAGAGACAGAAGGGACTTTTGGGATCACCTAGCCTGACTCCCTCCTTTTTATAAATGAGGAAACTGAAGCCCCAGAAGATTCATTTGCCTAAGATTACTCAGGTAGTCAGTAGCAGTGGTGGGATTTGAATCCGTTCCTCCCACTCAGAATCCAGCATACTTTACCCTGCACCCCTTAGGGAAGAAATCTTTCTTATTTTGAGGCACAGCTCCTTTTGGAGATCACAGCCATGGGGTAAGAGGCCCAGGTCCTGAGGGGCCACAGCTGGAGGCAGGGATGCCTTCCTGGACCGATTTGAACCAGACATCAGCTGCCAGGCAGAGAATGTTCTGTCCTCTCTGCTTCCTGCCCTTGTTGCTCAATCCCAGCTACATGAAAAATATTTGTTCTTATCCCCACCTTTTGATTTGGGGTAAGCCATCAGGAAGGAGAATGCTGGGGAACTGGCGCCTTTCATCAGGCTGCCCAGACCTTTGGCTCAGGAGCTTGGAATGGGCCTGGCCCGGCTGTTCCCTGGCTATTTCCAGAAGGAGCCAGAGTCCTTAAAGATTGAGCTTGAGGACTAGGGATGGCACACGGGCAGAAGGGGGAAGGCATCTGGGTTATCTTCACCTTCCTTTACTGAGCCTTTCTCCCCCTCGCAACCCAAGCCCCCACAATCAGGTGTTTTTCAGCATCTGAGAAACTAAACTCATTTATACTAAGTGGTTTGGAAGTGTCCCCCTGGGCACCTAGAATCCCAACCACCCTCAAGTCTTCTTCATGAAGACTTTCTGGATTACTCTAGTCCAAGGTGATTTCTAAGGTCATGGGCCTCTAAACACCTCTGAAACTTAGATTATCTTTATTGAGTTCTTTTGGCTTTACATCCTCTTCATTTTCCAATATATCATTCTCCCTCCCCCTCCCAGATTGCCATCCTTTTTAGAAAATTTGAAGAGAGAGACAGAGAGAGAGAGACAGAGAGAGAGAGAGAGACAGAGAGACAGAGACAGAGAGAGAGAGAGAAAGAAGAGAAGAGAAGAGAAGAGAAGAGAAGAGAAGAGAAGAGAAAGGAGAGGAGAGAGAAGAGAGAGAGAGAGAGAAGTAGGGAAGGGGAGAGAGAGAGAGAGAGAGAGAGAGAGAGAGAGAGAGAGAGAGAGAGAATATCAGTTCAGCAAAACTAAACCCACATCAATCAAGTCTGACAGTGTATGCAGTGTCCACCCGTAGCACACCTCCCCCCAATCTCTGCAAAAAATAGAGGACTTTGCATTCCTGTATCTCTCCTTTCAGGCCATGTTTGGTTACTGTGATTGATTGCATAGCATTATGTTTCAGTTGTGCTGGTCTCACCATTTACATCATTGTGCATGTCATATGTCTGTTTACTTCTCTCAGCATTAGCTGATGTTTTCTAATGTTTCTCTAATTCTTTAGATTCATTGTTTCTCATGGCACACTTCCACCACTTTCACCTGTTACATTTATATTTTAAACCATTGATTTAAGCACCGAACATGTAACCTTGTACAAAGGGTTGCGTGCGTATTGCCTCCCTGATGGGACTCTATTAGTTTCATCTGTCCCAGGATTCCTCGACGGTGGCAGCTGCCTAACCCTGCCTTGCTCACAGGATGACCAGTTGTATGCTGGAAAGTTCTATGAGCCTTGTGAGCCGTTAGGACTTTCTCATCTCTGAAATGGGGACCATAACCTCTTCCCTTCCCCCACTCCTCTGGGTTGCTGGGAGGATCAAAGTGGATAAAGTCTGTAAACTTTAAAGTGCTGTGTGAATGTCATTTGTCATCATCGTCATCATCATCATCATCATTATAATTTGGCAGCTGGGGAACTGGACCTGTGATTTCAATGGTGTAGTCTTGGTGAAGAATAAAGGCAGTTAGGTGGCACAGTAGACAGAGCACAGGGCCTGGAGGTGGGAAGACCTGAGTTCAAATCCAGCCTCAGACACTTACTAGCTGTGTGACCCTGGACAAGTGACAGCTTCTCTTGGCCCCAGTTTCCTTGATTGCAAAATAGGGATGATAATAACACCTACCTCCCAGGGTTGTTGTGAGGATGAAACAAGACAATAGTTGTAAAGTGCTTAGCACAGTACCTGGCATATAGTAGGTATTTAATAAATGATTATTTCCTTCTTTCCTTCCTACAAATGCCTATCAAGACTACTGCATTGAAAATATTCAGCAGGCAGCTGGTGATGTTGGACTGGAGTTCAGGAAAGAAATCACGGTTGGTTAGGAATTTTGGAATCATTCGTGTGAAGTTGATCATTGGACCCTTGGAAGCTGATCAGGTCACCAAGAGAGAATGTGGAAAGAGAGAAGAGAGCCCAAGACAGAGTGTTGTGGGACACTCATACATAGGGAAAAGAGCTGGCTGATGAATCAGCAAATGAGCCTAAAAAGGAACCTTCACACAGACCGGTTGAAGGATAGAGAGCAGTTTCATGAAGACCTGGGGGGGGGGGATATATCCAGAAGGAAGGAGTGATCTAAGGTGGCAAGAAATCCTGTAGAATGAATCCCAAGAAAATGGCTGTTGGCTTTGGCAGTTAGAGGATTTCTGGTACTCAATAAAGATTTGTGGAATTTCTTAGCCATGGGAGGGGATTAGGCAATGCAAATTTCTCAAGAAATACAACAGTGGAATGAGGTGATGGTTTCCTCCTCGTTGGGGGTCTTCAAACAGATGGGGTATGGGGTGATGTAGAAATGGATTTATCTTGGAGCATGGGTTGGACTAGATAGATGGCTGCTGAATACCATCCCAACATGGCCATTCTGTGATTCTGTGATGCAGAGGGGTTTTTAGTACACAGGATTTAGAGTGGCGAGGAATACCTGAGATCGGCTGGCCCAAGAGTTCTTAACCTTTGATGAGTCATATATCTCCCTTTGGCAGCAGTCTGGTAAAGCCCAACCATTCCTTCTCAGAATAATGTTTTTAAATCCATAAAAATGGGATTCAAAGGAAACTGATTATATTGAAAAACAATTATTGAGATTAAAAAAATTCACAGAGGACAGGTTAAGAAACCCTGATCTAATTGAACCCCTTCATTTTACAGAGGGGGAAACTGAGGCCCAGAAAAGGGAAAAGCTGATAGTTGGTCATCTCTGGGTTTAAACCCAGGTCTTTATGCTCCAAATCCCGTGCTTTTCCCTCTACACCAGTGATATCAAATTCAGATAGAAAGGGGGTGTCCACAAAACTGTACATAAGAATTCCTGTGGCCACATATTAACTTCAAAAACCACATACTAACATTATATGTGTTCTAAAATATTGCCCAATTACATTTTAATCTGCTTGGCTTCACTAGAGGGCCATCTTGGCATTCTTCTACATTGGTCTAGGGATATGTTAAGGGACTTGCCTAAGGTCACACAGCTAGTAAGTGTCTGAGGCTGGATTTGAACTCATGAAGATGAGTCTTCTTGATTCCATGCCCAGTGCTCTATGCACTATGGCACCACCTAGCTGCCTGGGGATATGTTAAGGATCTGCATGCAGTTCAACTCACAATAAAATGTGGATGGAGGAGTCCAGTTGGGTAAACAACTTCTTGTCTCTACTCTTCTCTTCAGATCCTTCCGGCCAGACTTCGTGCTTGTCCGGCAGCACTCCTTCGGCATGGCCGAGAATGAGGACTACAGAAACCTGATCATTGGCATGCACTATGCTGGCATCCCCAGCGTCAACTCCCTGGATTCCATCTACAACTTCTGCGACAAGCCCTGGGTGGTGAGTGAGCCGAGGGCTGGGTGGGACCTGGGGAGTCTCCTTTGTGTTGGCCCTTGTGTTGGGTCTCTCCTGGACCCTGGGGAAGGGGGTCCCAGGGAGAAAGGATGCCAAGAGACCTGTGTCCTCCAATCTGCACCCACCCCATGACCAGCAGAGGGCCTGAGAGGTCCCTGGAAGTAGGAGCCTGGGCTGTGAGGAGGGGGGCGCAGAGATGAACAGAGTGGAATGATCACAAGGCACCCGAAGAAGGCTCTGTGTGTGTGTGTGTGTGTGTGTGTGTGTGCGTGCGCGCGTTTGACCATGTGTGCATGTCCGTGCATGTGTGTGCCATGCAAACAACTCTGGCATGGGGAATGTTCTGGAAGATTATATCTAAACAATGCATCCATTCTTTAAGGATGACCCGAAGGGCACATAACAGCTGTCATCAGTCACAGGAGGCCAGAGGGGTAGCAAAAATGCACACCACATGTCACAACACATGATGTGTGCTGAAATATGGCCCAGCTGTTGGATGGGAGCTTCATGAGGCTAAGAAGAGCTAAGAGGGGACAGGTCAAAGCAGGCTGGCTCCCTGTTGGCTGATTCTATAGCAATCTCTGCTAGTGTATATGTATGGAGGATGTCAGTGAGATTCCTCTGTATACATCCATACACACACACACACACACACACACACACACACACTCATACACACACACAACACAACACAATACAGAATTTATAGAAACCTTAGAAAGCACCGAGTCTGTCTACAATAGTAGAAAGAATGCTAAATTTGGAATCACAAGACCTGAGCTCAAATTCCAGCTCCTCCAGCTAGGTGGCATAGTGACTAGGGTGCTAGCCTAGAGTCAGGAAGACCTGAATTCAAATCCATCCTCAGATGCTTACTAGCTATGTGATTTTAAGCAGGTCATCTGTTTGCCTCGGTTTCCTCAACTGTAAAATGGGGATAATAACAGCACCTATCTCATAGGGTTGTTGTGAGAATCAAGTCAGATATTTATAAAACACTTAGTAGAGTACCTGGCACATAGTAGGTGCTATATACATGCTTATTCTCTCCCCCTTCCCACTTACCACCTGTGTGACCTTGCTCAAGTCATGTAACTTCTGGTCTTCCTTATCTGTAAAATGAAGAGGCTGAACTTGATGGCCTGTGGGGTCCCTTCTGGCTCTGTACCTATAATTTTTGGATCCAATCCCTTCATTTCACACATGAAGAAACAGAGTACTGGGAAAGTCAAGCCACGTGCCCAATATCACACCACCTAGCAGGTAGCAGAGTGGGGGAGCTCCAGCTCTCCATTTATGGAGAGCCTTCTCCATGATCCCACAATGCTGACTTGGAAACTATGTCTGCACATGAGAATCTTTCCAAGAGCTGCAGAGGGTATGAGTAGAGGGAAGGAGGAAGGGAATATGTTGGGAAAATTTAGGGAAAGTGAGGGGAGTACAGGGCATCACAGATAACCTGCCTGGTTTTTCACCAATGGGTCAGGCCTGACCAGCAGAGGAGGAGGGCTGCTCTGACTATGGGACAGGAACAGAAATGTGCCAGGATCCAGTCCCAAAAGAACAAAACCGAGGGGCGCCTCCACAGCTTACAGGATTAAATCTGAGCTTCTCCTGAACCCATTCAAAGTGTTCATCAAGTTAGCCCTGTGCTCCCCAGCCAACCTCGTTTACCCCTCTTCCTCCTATCTCATCAACCATTCAATCAACAAGCATTTATTAAAGGTCTCTTATACACCAAACAGCATGGTAGAATGAATGGAAAGCTGAAATTGAAGCCTGGAAGATGTGGCTTTACATCCCACATCTGGTGCATACTGACTGTGAGACTTAGGATACATCATTTAGCCCCCATTGGGATAGCCAACTTTCCAAGACTAGACATTGCAGAGAAGGCACTGACCAGCCTCAGGAGAGGGTTTTCCTCACTCTGAAGTTCCCTTTGCCGATAAAATCAAAGATCTACTCCCTGTCTCTGGGCCAAGCATTGTGCTAAGGAATTGAGAATACAAAAACACAAATTAAATTCTTCTTGCCTTCAAGGAGGTTACATTTCAATAAGTAGAAATGAAGTGGATATATGGGTGGATGTACCAAAAAGAGGGATGTGCTGGAGCCAGTCTGAACCAGATTGTGAGAGCTGATTGTTAAATTTTCAGTGTAAGCATGTACACCTCAGAAATCAGCAACTGCTATGAATCAGGGCTTGATTTATTGTTGTTTTTTTTTTTTAATTGTCTAGTCTTTAGAGAGCGATGGAGAAACTTAATAATAGAGATTAAACCTAAAAGTGGGTCAACAATATTTTTTTTCAATGAGTTGATTGTTAAACATTTCCCAGCACCACCCCTGCAGATAGATAGAAGGTAATTTTGGTGGAAGACACTAGAAGGGGGATGGATCAAGAAAGGTCTCATGTAAGAAGTGGTGCTTTAGCTGAACTTTAAAGGGAACTTCAGATTCTAAGAGGCAGAGGGAAGGCATCCTAGGCATCTAGGCATGAGAGACAGCCAGTGCAAGAGCTGGAGATGGAATGTAGTGCATGTGGAATGGTTTGGCAGGACCAAAGAGTGTTTGAAGGAGAGAAAATGTATAATAGGGCTGGAAAAGTAGGTTGGAGCAAGGCTGTAAAGGACTTTAAATGCCAAACAGAGGGGTTCCTAGAGGTAATAGGGAGCCAGTGACGTTTACTGAGCAGGGGAATAATGGTTAGATCTCTACTCTAGGATGATGACTTTGGCATCAGTGTGGAATAGAGACTGGAGAAGAGAGACTTGAGGCAGGGAAACCAAGTAGGAGGTTCGTGGGGATGTTTGCAAGAGCTGTAGGAAAGGAAGAATTATTAAGACTTGGCAGTTGGGTGGATATGTGGGTTGAGGGAGAGGGAAGAGTTAAGGATGAATCTGAGGTTGTGAACTTGAGAGTCTGGAAGGCTGATGGTATTCTTGACTGAACTAGAGAATTTCAAAAGAGGCCTGGGTTTGTAGGAAAAGATAATGAGTTCTATTTTGGACATACTGAGTAACCCACTACAGTGCCTACGACAGGGATGGGCACCTAGCAGACACTTTGTAAATATTTGCTGAATTGAATTTAAAAACATGGGTGACTAAGAGACATGGCCCACAGCCCTGGCCTCAACCAGACGGACACTGTCCAGCATCCAGGATGTTGCTTCCTGGCCCTTCCTGGGAAATGGGAGATGGGGCTAGATTTTCATGCCTGTGGCTTTAGAATAAAATCTTTAACTCTCTTCCCTGCTCAGGCTTGGCTTCTCCTCCATATTCTTGGTGGGTTCTGTTCAAACCCCAGCTTCTTGGTATAAGAAGCAGTGGTGTGTTTTAGAGACCCGAGGAGGTAAGGGCCTGGTAGTGAAGATGCCCTGGGTCACCCAACTGAATTACAGGCAGGGAAAACCTTTTAGAACATTTGACTTCTTGAGGGTCTATTTGGGGACAATGGGGTCCAGCAGTTGTATAATCTGCAAATTTGATTCTAATTCTACAGAAAACAAGGAGGGATGATTGACACTTTGGATGGCAGGGCCATGGATCCAAAAACCCTGCTAGGCTAGAACGTTGGGTTAAATTTAATAAGACGAAATTTAATAAGGATAAATCATGGAATCAGATTTAGAACTGGAAAGGATCTTAGAGGTCATCACATCCAATCCCCTCATTTTACATTTTTTTTTTTTGAAATTGAGGTCTACAGAGGGGTGGTCACATAGAGAGTAAATGGAATAGCCAGGATTTGAACCCAGGGCCTCTGGCTCCAAATTTAGCACTCTCTCCACTCTACTATGTTGCATCTAAACTTTGATGAGCTGTAGCACGTCCAGAGGAAGGGAAATAGGTGACGTGCCTGGAGGTGAAGTCATGGAAATGAAAGACCTGGGGATGCTGAGTCTTGAAGTGAGGGAGGGGAAGGTTGAGTCTCTTTCCTGTCTTGCCTCCCTCCTTAGAGGAAGCTCCATGAAAGCTGGGATTGTCCTACTTTTCTCTTCCCATCCCCAGCCCTTGGCACAATGCTTTGTACCTAGGATGTGATTAATGCGTGTCTTTTCATTCTTTCATGGAAGATGGATTAGGCCTGTTCATTTTAATCCCAGAAGACTCAGGTTGGAGCAGTGAGTGAAAGTTATAAGCAGCAAATTCAAGCTCGAAGCAAGGGTATTGTCAGGAGAAAAATAATAACAAAAGCTAGCATTTACTTCCCATTTTAAGGTTTGCAAAGTGCTTTACAAATATTGTCTCCTTTGATTGTCACTACAACACAGTAAGGTAAGTGTTGTTATCCCATTTTACAGATGAGGAACTTAAGACTGAGAGAATTTGGGGGACTTGTCCAAGGTCACAGAGGTAGTAAGTGTCTGAGGCAGGATTTGAATTCAGGTCTTCTTACTCCACGTGGCGGTCTCTATCATGTCTGTACCACATAGAAAAAACACACGAACCAGGCACATAGTGAGAGTGAGTGAGGGACACCTGAGGGCTCTGTTGCATCCATGAACACCAAAAGAATTTGAGGAATGTCCCCCTAATTTCATATAGATCCCCTCTGGTAAATCCATGGGCCGATGCAGACAAGAGTCAGTTATGGAGTAGTTGCAAACTTTTCATTGGTCCCGTATACTTAAAGATTTACAGTTTCATCCTTGTGGTGGATATAACCTCCACCAAGGCAGACTGTGACCCTTCAGTGATTCATTGGAAGGTCTTTGTGATTTCCTAATGAAGATTGCCCCACCTTCCTGCCAGCCTTGCTCCACCAGCCTGACTCTTAAACCACAAGCCTACAGTCTGACTGGAGCTGAAAGCCTTCCTTAGGCAGAAGCATCCCCCACAGCTTGTCTCCAATCAATGAATCAATTTACAAGTGTTTAGTAGTGCTTACAAGACACTGTATTTAAGGCACAGAGGACAAATAGACAAAAACAAAACCATCCCTGCCTCAAGAAACTTAAATTCTACTGGGGAAAA